TTCTTTCTACTTTGGATTTTGGTTTTTCATGCTTATGGTTTGAATCAGATGCCAAAATTGTTGTGGATGGCGTGTTGCGTGGGGAGACTTGTCCATCGGAAATTGCTCCTATTTGCTTTGATATTAATTTGGATCTTCGGCGCTTTGTCTGCTTCTTTGACTCATGTGCGGCATCAAGGTAATTAGGTGGCTCATGCTTTGGCTTCTCTATCGCGGCCTGGCCTTGGGACAGATCAGGTATTGTCATCTCTTCCTCCTTCCGTTGTGCCCCTTGCGAAGGCGGTTTTTAAGGTTGTTGTGTTTGGGTTTTGGTTGTCTTTCCCAGGAAAAAAAAAAATACTGCTAAAGTTTATCCAGAATAAGTAAAAATGGAGCTTTATAAATAAACAGAATTCTAAGTTACCCACAATTGCCTTACAAAAAATACCCACAGGTGCTAGATATCCACAGTTACTTTACAAAATATATCTCCACCATATCCACAAACACCTCCACCATCTCCACAAATAAAAATAAAAATAAAAATAAAAAAACCCCAAGTCCCTCCACTATTTGGATTAAACCTTCTTAAAATTATTCACGGGCCTTTGTGCCATTAGACATGGCACACCAGGCCAATTCACCGCTAAACACGAGCTTCACAACAAATTGAATCTCCCCTTCAGTGATGGTGGCCTTTTTTCTTATATTGTGAAAGAGTAAAGGGCTCTTGAGCAACCCTTTGAAAAAGTCATTGATGAAGCTATTGATGATACTCATGGCTTGATTTGAGATCCGAAGGTTAGGATGTACTTGTTTGAGGACTTTATATGTAGAGACCGGTATCACTTTTTTCCATTTTTGGCCTATTTTCTTTTATTATGTATAATGTTTTTCTTGGAATGGGGATGCGTGTTCCGGGACTCATTTTGATCATTTATTAGAGTTACACATTTTCTTTTATTACATATTAAAAAGAATAAATGAATACTTACACATAAAAATATATTGGAAGTAAATTAATTCGTATTAATTACTAAGCATGTTTGAGGGTTATAAATACCTAAAAAAAAGCTTATATTTAAATTAATTAAGTTTTTTTTTTTTCTATTTAAATCTCACATTAGAAAGAAAATTATATAATTCTTTTTACACATTAAAAAAGAATAAATGAATATCTACACATACAAATATATTGGAATTAATAAATAATTGAAACATTGAATTAAGGATAGTATGGTATTCAATATATAACTATATAATTGAACAAATTAAATTAAGAATGTTATACTAGTAAAGTGATCCAATATAACTATATAATTAAACAAATTGAATTAAGAAGGCTATCCTGGTATAGTGATTCATATATAAGTTATATAATTATGTAATTAAACAAATTGAATTAAGAAGGCTATAGTATTATAGTGATTCATATATAATTATTTAATTAAACAAATTGAATTAAGAAGGATATAGTAGTACAGTGATTCATATATAATTATATAATTCAACACATTGAATTAAGGGAAGTATATTAATACATACATAACTATATAATTAAATATATTGATTTTTTTTTTAATGCAAATATATTGAATTAAGAAAGCTATACTAGTATAGTGATTCATAACTATATAATTAAACACTAGTATAGTGATTCCTATAACTATATAACTGAGCACATTTAATTAAGAAGGTTAAACTAGTAATGGATATATAACTGAGCACATTTAATTAAGAAGACATTGAATTATTCTTGTTTTTCCTATTTAAATTTAATTACAATGAATTAATCAATTGGTATTTAATTAATTAATGAATTAATCTGATAATAACTTAATTACTAATCAATTATTAATTAATTTGTCAAACACGTCAAAAGGAACTTTGCTATTTGATTAACGAAATTAAGTTTTTTAATGGTTATGTCATGATAACATGTGCAATTCAAAACACAAAATAATACGTAAGAGAGTCTCAAATCCAATCTCTAAAGAGATATTTTTGCTGTTTTTATTACCATCAATTATTAATTAATTTGTCAAGCATATCAAAAGGAACTTATTAATTGCTATTTGACTGATTAAATTAAGTTTTTTAATGGTGATGTTATGATAACAAGTCAATTCAAAACACAAAACAATATGTAAGGGAGTCTCAAATACAATCTCTGATATTTTTGCTGTATTTATTTCCGTCAACTGGGGGAAGCATCAGGTGATCCAGATGGGCATGGGATGCATTTGGTAGTCGATGCCCACCACATGTCTGGTTGCTTGCTTTTAATTAAAGCACATTACTTAATTTTAAAAAAGTTAAAGTGCAAAAAGCCCTTCGAATAGTTGACTTTTTGAAATTAACTCCTTTCAATTATAGATTGTTCCTTAAATTATTAATTTATTATAATTAAAGATAAACTCATCACAAAAGATTATTTTACCCTTTCTTATTAAATTTGTCATTTCTTACTAAAAATTTTTATTATATTTTCTCTTATTTAAATATTAATTTTACCATTTATCTTAATTGTATAATTAGTATCAATTGATTAGAAAAATGGTAAAAAATAAATAAATTTGTAGCTATTATTTTCTAAAATGATTAACTTATTATAATAAAACTTATTATACTCACTTTAACAAAATTTAGTATAAAAAAAATATCTTCTTTTTCAAACAATATTCCTGAAAAATTAATAAATTACGTAAATAAAAAAATCTTCTTTCTAATGTAATATATTAATGAAAATTAAGAAATTACTTAAATTGTTCCAAAATTTTCTATTTAAGAATTTTATTTAAATAATTAATTTTAAAAATTAAAGACAAACTTATGCAAATTTAATGGAGAATATTTCATCAAATTAGTATGAATTTTTTTCATAATTTATTTTAACAAGAAAAATATATCAAGTGTAATTCAACAAGAAAGGGTATTATGGTCATTTAATAAAAAATAGGTAAGACAATGTGACATTTTGCAACTAAATGTGATAGTTTAGGGGGTTATATGCATAAAATATATTTCAGGGGATTATTTGCAAATTTAGACATAGTCGAGAGTATTTTTTTTTTTTGCACTTTACCCTTAAAAAATGAAAGAAATTGGATAATGATTTAGAGTCTGAAAATTTTATAGCGAGTCATCACATGATTAGTGTCTCTCACACTCGTCCACGACTTCACAATACACGGTACACTCGTCCACACAATTATCTTGTCTTGGGACTCAACATTTTTGTTCGCCACACTTTTAATTGAACGATTTCACTTCATCACATGATATAATATTGCATCTTTAAACTCGAATTTGCACAATTTTGTTGTTAAATTTTATCCCAAAATATGATATTATATTTTTTTGAGTTCGAGTCCACATAATTTTATTATTGAGTTTCACCTTAAAATGTCTCGTACGAATTTCCTAAAGCTCGCACGGTATGATAGCTTTTGTATTGGCTCCCATGAGTTGCCACAATCACCTGGGACAGTCCAATAATTATGACTAATTTATATAAGTTGGGGTCCATTTGAAAAGAAAAGGAAAGATTTAACAAAAAAAACCATATTTTATCCAAAACAAGATATAAATGTGACCGTGAACTTCCATCACGACAGGGATAGAGAAAGACTCACCTTTGGCTTTTCTCTTGGTGGGTCCCAGACTCCTAGTACTCATGCAATTTTTTTACCGCACCAGAAAAAATCTGGACCATTAACAAAATACATTATCCAAATATAATATAATATATGCTTTTATTACATTACCTTTTTTTTTTTCGTGGTGTGAAACTTTTGACATTACTCTAGAGAAAGTGATTTACTCTTTTCCATTCAAAGGTCTTTGTCTTTTTAATTATTCTAATTATTTGCCTAATTTACCCACCATAGAGATTCTATTTTATGTCTTTTTTTCTTGCTTAGCAAAATAATAGTCCCTTTTTTTGTTTTTCTTGCTCCATAAATTTATGAAGCCCATTTACTTTTACAGATGATAATCACAGGGACAGAGCTACATGTAGCGTGCAATTGCCAAAGGTAACATGATCTGGCCATTTAATTTTTCTTTCTAAAAATGTGTGATTTAAAATCAAAATTTAATTTTTTATCTTTACCAATAGAGTCGTGATAATTAGTTGACTCATAGGTTTTTATCTATTAGATGTTATGGATAAGATTAATTATGAATTATCTATTAGATGTAGTGGATAAGGTCAAAGGGAGAGGAGCCATAAGCTATACAAATAGGATTTGAAATATAGGTTAGATTTATTTTAATTAAACTATGAGATCCCGTTTGGCAAACACTTCGTTGTTGTTGTTTGTTTTTTATTTATTTATTTTTATTTGCTTTTTTCCTCGCCTTTTGCTTTCAATAGTGTTAGGAGCAAAGCAAAACACATAAGCCTAGTTGGTAATTTTTTTGCTGCGATTTGAATAATACCAAAATATTCCCAAAAAAATATGTCAAAATCAAATTTGGTATTTTCGATCATTTCCACACTTACGGTGTAAAAAAAAAAAAACTAGTAGTATTAAATTAGATTTTTAACTTCCCATTTTATTTTTCAAACTAGTAATATTTTTTTTAGTTAACATGTTTTTATATTTTTACCTCAAAAAAAAATTTTTACATTAAGGTTCCATTTGTTTGGACGTATTAAAATATATTTTCGAAAGTATTTTTTTAGTTTATGATGTTTGATATTAAAATTTAATAAAAATAATTTATTCATTAATTTTTAATAAATTATTTTACATGTACAAAATTTTTTTTAAAACAAATATTTTCGAAACAAATAAGCCTTAATATAATGTTACGAAACATTCTCAAAAAAACAAAGAACTTAAAAATGGTTCATTTTCATGTTTTAAGCGTGACAGCATTTTCCCGGCGGATCTTCTCTTCCCCCAAACGGTCCACCTTTCTCCTCCAACAAGCCCGCACTAAAGTGCGCGGCGTCCAGACAAAAAAACCTCACTAACGTTCACTTCACCACCTTTAATTGTCTATCTATCTGGATTGCAAAGCCAAAAACCCTTGCGCATTAAAAGCCACCACCACTCTCCCCGGCGCACGTTATCCCAGCCAGCACTCTCCCCCCACGTGGCGCACCATCTTAACCTCAACACCCCCCACCCCTTTCCATTCCCTTCAACTAACTTTCGCTGAAACCCAAGCACATTCGAAGGAATTCGATTCCGTCCCGAAATGGGTAATCGAATTTCCATCCAAAAGAATCGATGACGATGAACAATACACATATATGTCTATATAGATATAGATACAGATATATACATACGTCTATATGTATATACTTATCTCACAGTTAAATGTCTCATCCTCCAACTTGTAATCGCACATCAACAACAACAACAACAGCAGCAGCAGCACTTGCTTCAGTATCTGATTCCGTCTCTCCACCGTCGATTCCACTCTCCATAACCGTCACAAGATGTGTATTTAAGTCGAAGATGCGACTTCCGAAGAGACCAGTCTCCTTTTGCCTCTCTCTCTTCTCTCCTCTCGAGTTCTCCTCTTCTGTTTCTCTCTCTAAAACACTTCTCTGGTCTCATTCCGCCATTCTCACCTCTCATCTCTGTTCAAGAATTTCCGGTCAATCTTCAACCAAGAGAAAAGGATTTCACACCGGAGGTAACAATATGAATCGTTTCGCAATGCTTTACTGGCTGTTTCAATTTCAATTCAAAATTTCACTGTAGACTGTTTGTTCAAATGAATTTCAGCGTTCTTCATATTTTTCTTGAATTTTGGGGAATTTAGGGTTTAGGGGATTAGAGAAGTTAAATGATTTGGTGTGTTAGATAATCTAATAAATTGTTTAGGGAGCAAATGAATGTTTTTCATGTGAGGAATTGGATTGTTAAGTGTTTCTTGGAGCTAATCATTGGAGTATAAATAAATTTGAGGGTTGGCACGTAGGGTGGTGTGCTGTGTGTAATATTAAATTATTTGTTTTGTTAGATAACGATTGTTTTAGGGAACAAATCAGTGTTGTTTATTTGAGGGATTAGTGTTGTTTATTTGAGGAATTGGATTGTTAGGTTAGGTGTTTCTTGGAGCTAATCATTGGAGTATAAATAAACTTGAGGGTTGGGACATAAGGAGGTGTGGTGTGTGATCTTGTGGTGGCAAATGACTGTTTTTTATGTGAGGAATTGGATTTTAAGGTCAGGTGTTTCTTGGAGCTAGTACTCATTGAAGGATTGGGACATAAGGCAGTGTGATATGTGTACTTTTGGTCACTGAGAAGGTAATAAACTTTTAAGGCTTTGTTATAAATTTTTTGTCTTTTAGGTTAATCTAAGTATGGTTGTTGAGTTTATGTATTGTGTTTGACAATTGAGAGGGAGGAATGTAAGGCAGACTGGTGGAGCTTTTGGTGTCTTTTGTGTTGAATGGGGGTTGAATATGGGAATATGAGTTGTTGGGGCTACTCATTACTTGCATATTGAACCTGCATAGTTGCTGGTAATGTCAAGCTTAGAGTAACCCAATTGGATTGAATTATTGCTTGATGCCAGGAATAGTTTTGTTTGTACATGGCATGGCAGGGTGATGAATGACTGAATGAGCACCTCTATTTTTTTTTTTCCCCTCAATGTGCTGACCATACATGTAAATAGTTTTGTTAGTTTTATTTTTTATTTATTTTATTTCTTCTTTTTGTTTTTGTAATTTTTCTTTCCTCCTTTCAAATTCTATATGCTGAAGAGGAAAAAGATTTTGTTTTTGTTTTTGTTTTTGTTAGAAGCTGGTCAATATTGATACAGTTCTTAGGAATCTGAATATACCGGAAAAAGATCAAAGTTGGTGTAAATTGAATAAACTTTGAAGTGTATTAATTTCATTGGAACAACTTATGAATAAATGGTTTGAATTTTTTATTTGGCTTCAAATTTGCTCCTACTATATCAACAATAATTTTATTTCTTCTTTTTGTTTTTGTAATTATTCTTTCCTCCTTTCAAATTCTATATGCTGAAGAGGAAAAAGTTTTTGTTTTTGTTCTTGATTTTTTTTAGAAGCTGGTCAATATTGATACAGTTCTTAGGAATCCGAATATACCGGAAAAAGATCAAAGTTGGTGTTAAATTGAATACACTTTAAAGTGTATGAATTTCATTGGAACAACTTATGAATAAATGGTTTGAATTTTTAATTTGGCTTCAAATTTGCTCCTACTAAGGTATGACACTTTTATTAGCAATTGATGCAGTGTGCTAAATGGAATTTCTTATATTTTAATTTCGTTGCTAGTAATAGTTACTTGATTATGAAAGTAAGCTTGAAGATATGCACATGTTAACATCTGAGTTCAAATCTTATTGTAAATTATGTGTGAAAAATATGCAATGGACAAAAGCACACACATGGAGTGGCAGACACTCTTGTGATTGATCTGATGCAGAATTGATATATTATGTAGCACTACGAAGAATGGGTACTGTTATTAGGAAGTTGTATTTCTATCAAATACCGATACTCCTCGGATATTGGCAAATTAGCTATCTGATACTTGCTAAATGTTTATAATTTGAAACTAATTTTTTTTTATTCTGAACGCATAGTTGATGCTTCTTAGATACTCCAAGGCATATGTCCGACACAAGTTGAAAATGTAACTTTTCTATGTATAATTTAACAGTGTAATTATTAGAAAAAGCATTTTTTTTTTTTTTTTGCTAAGTTATTAGAAAAAGCATTAAATACTTAAAATTTCTTAAAATTAGAAGAAATGAAATATAATGATTTTATCATTTTCTAGTTTAGTCCAAATATTATGTCTGTCCAATATAACTTTTTTTTTTTTAATATTCTTTTTTATTAAGGGAATGTTTTGTAGTAATATATTTATCTATATATATATATATATATATATATATAACATACATACATAAATGCAATACATACTTACATAATTATATATATTGCCATATTCTCACTGTATACATATCCGTATACTATTGTTAAGTTGTTTTGCTGTGTTGGTATCGTGCTCTGTCCATATCCGTAGCTGTCTTCATGCTTCAGATAGCAACTTTATTGCTACTATTGGATTGGTCAACTTACCTTTTATTACTTGTCATCTTTTCTGGTGGCATTCATATTTTTATTTGCTTTTAGTAGTCAATCAAGGTTCATGCTGTGTGATTCGATCTTTGAATGCACAGTAAAGTCATGAAGTGGTTGGAATTTATATTTAAGGGAGTAATTGTGTGTGTGTGTATGTGTCTTTCTTGCTAAACCCAACAGGAGCTGATCAATTGCATGAAAGTTTAACAATGGAGGGGAGTGGCGTAGATGACAAAACATTGAAGTTTCAGCGTACTACTTGCTGTGGTGGTTGTCAGGATCCACGTATATGGTCATCTCCTGAAGGGGGTAGTAAAATTGATATAGGAAGACAGATTTTCTGCAATAGATCTTTGAATATGAAGAATATTGTCGCTGTTGGGTTTGACATGGATTATACCTTGGCACAATACAAATCTGAAACTTTCGAATCTCTTGCATACGAAGGCACAATCAGAAAGCTAGTGTATGATTTGGGATACCCTCGTGAGGTTTGTCTGCTTTCTGTTATAATGCAATATTTTGATCAGTGTCTGATCTCGGCTGTACATTATAATTTATATTTGTACACAGAAATGCACACACTCTCACAGTTGATTTAATTGCAACTTATAATGGGTCAATATTTTCTTAATTTTTATAGAAATTTGAGGGAATGTTTATGTGCGGTATTTGTACTAGATTCCTTTTTCTTTTCAGAAAAAATTCCTACTATCTATTTCTATGAATTCAAAATTCTATTTTCTTTGTCGTCTCTGTTTGTTCATTAAATTTGAAGCAACAATGGACAGATTCCTTGACAAAAGTGGTTTTTGTGTAGTTGTTGGAGTGGACGTTTGATTGGAATTACATGGTCAGAGGTTTAGTTCTTGATAAAAAGAGAGGGAACATATTGAAGGTATTGTTACTTCATTTTCAAATTTTATAGTTTGTGATGTTATATATGTATACATATAAACAAAAAAATACCCACACATATTGACAATTACAGTTTTTTTTTTTTTTGGTGACAAGAGGGGTGTCTCCATCCTTTGGGTGAGACTGATCCCCTCAGGATACGTGGTAGACCCAAACCCACGTGTCAATTTTGTTAGTGTAGTTCTTAATTACTCTTCCACCCCTTGGTGTTACATTGACAATTCTTGTTGGTTTGATCATTTTGATGTATACTTATATATTGTTTTTGTTTATCATGCAGATGGATCGACACAAGTATGTGAAAGTAGCATACCATGGATTTAAGGAGTTGTCAAAGGAAGATAAAGTTGCAGCTTACGGAAATACTTTGACACGAGATTCTTTTGATGAGCCTGATTATGCACTCATTGATACTCTTTTTTCATTGGCTGAGGCATACTTATTTGGGCAACTAGTTGATTTCAAGGACAAGAATCCTGGAAAAGTTCCAGAAGGTGCAGAGTAAGAGAGTGTCCATTTTCGAACTTTTTTATTTTTTCTCTTTTAAATATTTAACTGATACGTTAATGCATTCACGAGAATTTGGTAGCTAGAGGTTCCAAAAAATGATTTGATTATAATTTTTAATGTATCTAAGGGAACTCATGTTAGATTTTCTTGCTTGCCCCCTCTTTTATCTCAATAAGGAACATATACTACCATGAAATGAAGGTAAAAAAGAGGAAGAATTTTGCTAGAAACAAAGCACAAATGCTCATAAACCAAAAATATAAGCAAATAAACAATGAAGTAAAAATGTAAATCTGAAAAGAAGCAGTTGGTTAGAAATCAGACTTGCCAAATACCTCTACCAATGTAACAATCTTTTTTCACTGAAGAATCTGTTTCAGTGTTTCTTTAGCTTTTTTGCTCTTAATACAACTTACTCTAATCAATGGGCTCTAGCCTAGATGGTATAAGCTCTTCTCCCCCTTTGGAGAGGTTGAGTGTTTGAGCCCCGGTGGGGGAAAAACAAATAGTGGGTGGCTGTGTTTGCTTGAACTTTCCCAAAAAAAAAAAAATAGTCTAAATGGCATATGAAATCTTAAAACATTTATTTTTTATTTTTATTTTTATTTTTTTTTAATAATATCTGGAGTAGTCTCACACAATCACATTGTTATTTTTTTTTAATATATTTGGGGTTGGGCAAGGAGTCCTTGTCTTTGCTGGGTATACAACCCTTTTTCTTGGCTATATTAATGATGCATGAAACATGATTGCAGCTACCCTCGTATGTATAAAGATGTTCGAGCTGCAGTGGACTTGTGCCATCGTGATGGAACATTGAAGCAGATGGTTGCAAAAGATCCTAAAAGGTACAAAAATGATTTATTATTATTATTTTGGGAATAATGAGGAACTGTTTCAACCAGGTGTCCCTTGGACTTGTGGCTACAACTAGACACCGGATACTACAAATAATTTATTACTGTTCTTATAACAAATAATTTATTATTGCTTGATGCAAGAATGCTAGAACAAATGATAGAAGGTTGGCTACTGTCTAACTTGCCTTGCAACATTTATATTCTCATCATATGTATAAAGATGCTCGAGTAGTGGGCTTGTGCCAACACTTTATATGATTGAGGAATGCTTGTAAAATTAAAATTGTGACTAGATGAAATGGGAAATAAGCGCAAAGAGGGATGCAAGTCTTCGTTCAACTGGTTGTTAAATTTAGAATTAATTAAAATAGCTTGCATGCAAGGATGGCCATATATATTTCCTGTAGGTGGGTTTTGCTGCTTGTGCAGTTTAAAGGCTCTTAGAGATAGAAAATCAATGCTGATTGCTGACTGAACCCAGAAAATATAATTGAATATTTCCAAAGACAAGAGTTGTTGAAAGATAATCTTTTAGTCTCTCCAATTTGTTAGAACAAACTTTAACCCATAAATGCGGCTTGCTGAGAGTGGTTGTCTATGGGCAGAACTAAGATGGCACTTCCTGTACAAATTGGCTGCCCCTTGAATCTGGCAAACTCATGCTTGATCATTAAATATATATACATATATATTTGTGCATTTAATTTTTACTGGGCTCGAAATTATACATTTGACCATTATTTGCATCTATTAATCTTCAATATCACCCTGAATATATATATATATATATATATTTATTATATTAGAATCTTAATTATGATTTTTTTTGAAGTCTTACATTATTCATTTGACCATAGTGTTGTTCATGTTTCAGGTACATTAACGAGGATACCTCAATAGTTCCCATGCTCAAAATGCTCAGAGATTCTGGTCGTTCAACATTTCTTGTGACAAATAGGTAACAGTGTTTTTTGTTTAATTCTTTATTTTAGTATTAAAGGCTTGATTTGAACCGTTGGACAAATGACATAATTTCTTGTATGCAAAGTTGTTGGGATAACTACTTGCTTTTCGCTGTTCAAATTTTATCTGCCATTTTCAATTTGTATTCATGATTGCCTTCGGCTTCTAACATACTTAATTCAAAATTCTCTTATTATTACACTATGCTTTCATATTTATATATTTGTAAGAGCTAATATAGTTAATATCCTCAATTTTATCTGTTGCAGTCTTTGGGACTATACAAATATAGTGATGAATTTTCTCTGTGGACCCCAAACTTTTGATCGTAGCCTCGCTTCCAACTTCAATTGGCTTCAATATTTTGACGTCGTCATCACTGGCAGGTGATGTTCTTTCCATGAGCATTCTAACTCAAAACACTAAATGCAGTACTTTCTACTGCTGCCTCGGTTGTTCTTTTTCTTTTCCTTCTCATTGGTAAGAAACACACTCACATACCCACTGTGCCCCTATGGGGACTTGAACCCTCGACCTTCTACCTTGGAATGCGAGGAAGTACCACTAGGCTACAGCCCTTGGTGGCTGCTGCCTCGATTGTTTCATTTCCAAACTTGGGACATTTACACTAAACTTTAAAGTTTGGTGTTCTTTGTCCTTTTTCTGAACTTTCCACTTGCGTTTGAGTGTAAAATCAATTAACCAAAGTGATTTCTCACGTGGTTGCAGAAATGTGTGGAAGTTCTTTCTTTGTAGAGATATTGTGAAAGCATCTTTTGGTGACTTGGGAGAATGCAACAGATTGCGTTGAACTTGTTTTTATACTTTTAAGTTCCTTATTATCTAATAATAAACCAGTGATATTTCCAGCTTAGAGTTGAAGTCGAATAATATTGCACTTTGCAACTTCACAATTGATTGTGGAAAATTGTGTTATGAATATTCTTTCCATCCTTTATATAATTTCATGCGAATTGTTTTTGGTTTTTCATCATAAAAAAGCAACTATTCGTTTATACAGTGCAAAACCAAGTTTCTTCCATGATGAAAATCGTGCCATTCTTTTTGAGGTCGAACCTGAATCTGGGATGCTACTTAATACTGATAATGGTACTCCTATGCCTCAGGTTAGAGGAAACGTTCTATGATCTTGAACAATGCACGTATCTTTGTTAGCTTTTCCTTCACTTTCTCATGATTGTGATCTTATCTTCAACTAATTAGGTGGGCAGTACTTTTTTTAGACCACCAGCAAAGAGCTTGAAGAAGACATGTAGAATTTTCCAGGTATGCTTATAGATTTATCTCTGTATAACAAAATCTACCTTGTTCAATGTGTAAAAACTATATTATCTGTTCCTTTTTTTTATTATTTTTATTTTTTTTATAAGTATCCGTTCCGTATCCCCTTGATTAATTTTCGACAGTTAAAATTTTTTATTTGGTAACTTGAATAGTTAGTATGTTAATTGTTAACGACTTGTTTGCATTTTCAGGGAGGCAGTGTTGGCCATCTGCATAAACTATTGGCTATTGAATCGAGTTCACAGGTATTGTGTTAATCTGTTGGTTAGTTACCTGATGTTTTCAAGGTTCAATTCTTTTTCATGTTTATGAATTTCTTCTTTGATAATTGTATATACACACATTTGTTTTGAATGAGTTTTTTTTAGTGAATGTATATGGGGGTGCAATGGTAAGATTAAACAAGAAAACAGCTTCTCCGCATGCGGAGGTAAGGTTGAGTACATCTGAACCTCCCGAGATCCCACAGTAGTGGCAACCTCATGCACTGGGCTTGGCAAAAATATAAATTAAAGATATACATGTATTTATTGAATAATATCTTTAATAGTGGGATTCTTTGAGATTTCATTTTAATTTATTAGTAATGTGCATATCTTATTTGGATGTGTATCCAAACATATTAAACATATATTTCTATTTGTAGATAATATTGGGTTTTGTTAAGGTTATAATGAATCTTTATTTTATGTTGTCTTTTATTGTATTGGATGGCCCTAAACTAGCAATCTAAGAAATTAATGTTTTTGCAAATGAATATTTACTCTTCCATTATATATTTCAGTTGTAGGGTTAGCTCATGACTTCTTAGAATAGATGAATTTGTTCTTGGTTTGTTCTGCCATCCTGGCCATTGAATCACTAGGGATTCGGTTTCAATAAAAGCTTCTGCATTCATTGGTTCTATTGTTGAAAGGATATCTTTTGAAATTGTATCTGATTTGAGAAGCTTATATGAATTATAATGTTATTGAGTTCAATTTAAAGGTTAATGTTATTCTGATTCAAGTAGAATTCAGTATGTTACTAATTGTTTTTGTCGTTCGTGTTAATGTTTCTAATACTTGTACGATATTAGTAGGTTCTTTATGTCGGGGATCACATCTATGGAGATATTTTACGCAGCAAAAAAGTTCTTGGTACCCTCTGCTTTTCTTTCTTTTCATATTGAGTATTAAGTATGATTTTTATTCTAGTTGAATGGTTATTACATTTTATTGAATAGATGTTTTTGAGCACTGGTCTAAAACGTGTGTTCTAGAATTGGCAAATAAGGTAGGGTTGGACATGATGGTGGTTTGTTTTTACATTTTCAGATGAAGTGTAGATGATCTGTTGTCATGGTTGAAAATTATATTTGGAAATGTTCTTGCGATTAAAACTTACGCGTAAAGAAATTCTGTAAGCTAGTTGAAGATGCATTAAGAGTTCAAACAGAGCTTCATGGTTAATCGTCTTTCCAGATAATGAGCCAAGAGATTATTGAAGTTGTAGGTGAAATAATAGCTTGGAAATATTTTCTGTTGAAATAAAACAGTGTGTCAGTCGTGTTTTTATGAACTTGTTAAACACTAAGTTTCTGGGAAGAAGCAGTGTATTTTGAAAGTTAGGGGTCATGAAGTTGAAAATCTTTCAAGGTAAGCCGAGTGTTTTGCCTCTAGAATGAACAGTCCAATTTGAAATTGAAACTTGATGATGGTGAATATTCTTTGCAACTTGTCTTCACAGATCATGTGTGGATTCCTTGGTATAGTTTTTTTTTTTTTTTTTTTCCTTCTTTTTTTTCCCCTGAAAAGTTTACTGTTATTAGAGAGCTTAGATGGGGTGCAACTGATACACTCACAGGGTATGATTAAAGATCCCCAAGGGGCTCAGGATCCATACCTAAATGATGTATTCAGCAAGAAGTCTACAAAAGAGTCGGAAGAGATGGTCAAGTCTTTCCCTTAAAAGTTGCATCAACAAGGACCTAACGATCACATGTTTCAACTTGAAGACTGGGAGCTCACCATAAAAAGCTTGTAGATTCTACTGCTCCTGACACACCACCGAGGGCATAGGGGTGCCACTTTTGCACCGACCTTACACTCAACGGATATGATCCGCAGCTGAATTCTCCAACCCTGATTACTGATCTAGGCATGACTAATTGAACCCCAAAAGGGGCAGAGGTAGACCATATTCTTTAAAGGGATACAACTCATACATCCATCACATTTATATACTTGTGGAGGATGGATTACTGATGGTAAGAGTTGCAATAGGAGACACAATGAGATTAATTATGGCCAGTTCGGTGTGTTTGTTAGATGGATACATTCAAGTGAAACAAAGGGGTTATTGATTGGTGTAATGTTGAAAGCATGAGAATGGGCGATTGAATACTAGGGTTTCCACTTAGCAAATAATGTGATGATTAGGTTTGTACCCACTGTACCCCACTGCATTCTGGGTAATCGCTTCTTTTTATATTATTATGTATGCTCAATGGATCGTCTTTATCTTGTGTTCATATCATGTCCTTTGAACAGGCTGGCGAACAATGCTTGTTGTTCCGGAGCTTGAGAGAGAGGTTCAACTCCTTTGGGAATCAAGGGACTCTCGCAAGGTATGAATGTATAACTATTTGGTTCGAATTGTATCTTTCTATGAGGCGGATGCAAATTAAAAAAAAAAAAGTATTATCTCCTTCTACAGTAGGTAGTTGTTCTCCAATTTGTGAAGGTCGTGTATTAATATGGTAACATTCTTTTAACTTTGCTGGAGGAAGTAAAACTATTAATTAAGTGCATTTCACTAAATATGTCAATGAAGTAACATCTCCAAAGTGTTAATGGATGACAAGGTAGTGTCACTTGCTAATTTAATCATTCCATTGAGTAGAAAGCAGGAGTAGTCCTATCTTCCTAGATAGGGCTATGATGCAGATATTTTGAGGCCAACAACATAAAACAGTAGAGTGTTGCATGGATGACCTTGCGGTTAAAAGCAGAAAGAAAGAAGATCACCTCGCAGATCTACAAAAGTCTACAAGATGCTTCAAAAGAACAACATGGGGATGAATCCCTCAAATGCTTTCGGGGGTTAGTAACTGGAAAGTTATTGGGTTTTGTAAATACAAGAGATAGAATCACACAGTTGACCCAGCCAAATCTAAAGCCGATCCATGCGCATGTGGCTCATGCAGGGTGTTCGAGACCTTTATAAATTGACCCTTTGAAAGAAGTTAGCTATAATGCTTACCAGGACTTCAAACTATAGCAAAATTCTGTATTTCAGACTTAAATTGTTGATAGAATCTCAAGTAATATGGGTATATCTAAGAAAATGCCTTGGTATGCATCTTAGACAGTGCAACATATATCTGGCAATTCTAATGCACAAAAATAGGCAGATGGTGGGATGAGGAGAAGAAGATGACTGGTCATAATATGTGTGTGCACACAATGTGCGATATTATCATATTCTAATTAATCATTGTTGTTCTATAGTTGAGTGAACTGGATGTTTTCTAATCTGAAAGTCATATTAAAGAATTGGCTGATGTAAAGGAACCAGTTTAGGTGTAAATGCTTCTAATTTTGTTCCTGGTTTTGTAATGTATAAGTGGTTTCATGCAGCAACTTCGATTGTTGAGGAATGAGCGTGATCTCATTGAAGACAAGATACATCATCTGAAGTGGTCTCTCAAGTAAGTATTTACCAATAATGCCACATTCTGTGTGCCAAAATTGCTTGCTGTTAGAATACTTGAGAGCAGTGGGCCATCCCTCCTTGTTTGTTATAAATAGAAATTTTATTTTTATTTATTTTTTTCTTTATCACGTTATAAATAGAATTTGAGTCAAGGTCTATTATATTGAAAATAGTTCACTGGTACAATATCTAAAACATTCGGTCAAAATGTTCTTGCAGTTGGATCAATCACCAGTTCACCTTATTTAGACTTATATTTTTTTTGAACTTCATAATATTGACCGTGACATCTGGGAATGAATACCATCTTTTGTAGTTAAAGCTGTCATTTCTTGCTTCAGGTTTGAAGGTCTTGCAGTTGATAAGAAGCAAAAGCTACATTATGAACTTGTCGAATTGGAGGTATGTCTATGTATCTTCATTGCTTATGCAATCAAAACTTTTAATGATCCCTTTGCTGAATAGGGGGTGAAATGGAATTTTCTTATTTGTAATCTATGCCCCTTAAAGGTAGCGAAGTATTGTAATGAAAACTGAAATGAAGTTACTACAGTAGTAATTGGAGTCATCCCTAAGAATAAGAAGTGGAAATGGAATATGTTACTGGTGTCATTTCTTTGATATTTCAATTAGCTGTACATAATCTGAACTGTCATTTCATATGTCTTGGATAACATGTCTATGTTTTAAGCCAGGGCCCTTCTTTGTGTGAAGGAGCTGTCTTGTAACTTTCTTTTCAAATGCATTTTCATTTCCACAATGAAATAATTTTATGTTCTCCCTTTATTTGAGTGTATAATTGAAATATGATATTTTTCTAAAACAAATTATCCCACTTCGCTATTACGTAGAAGGTGGGTAAGTTATAGGGTGACTTGGGTTCCATGATGGGCTGTTTCATAGGCCTTGGCTGCCAGTGACCAGTCTGGCCCACTAACTAGTTGCCGGGCTGGTCACCGGCAGACTTTGTCCGCGGGCCTTTTGCTATCACAATTACCCTTGCAACCTTCACTATGCTACTTGTACATTTAATTCAGCTCTAACTGTTTAATGCTATATTCAATTGTCTATTGCTTTCCTTTTTTCTTTTTTCTAAAGTAAAACCATATTTATGTATAAATGGGGGGAAAAAAGATTTCTGCTAGCTTGAAACTCCTGAAAATGAACTATGCCATGATGAAATGTCTGATGTACGAATTAAAAATATTATTTTTCTTTAATGGTTTCGTTTTGTAGTCTCAAAGGGAGCAAGTTCGTCAGAGTCATCAACAGGCTCAACGAGAATGTCATCAAAAGGTAACAAAAACGTTTGGAGAATGGTGCTTGTTTTAAGCACTTCAATTTTGGGAAGTTCTACATTATTGGGTTGAAGCAGTTGTTACTTGTTCACTTCCACGAGAAACGTATAAACCAACATAGGATATGGACTAGCCTAGTTGTTTGCAATGTTGACGGACATAATTGTCGAAGATTTAAATCATATGGCCCATGCAACTTGCAAATGATGTCTGCAACGATTCTCTTCCACATTTTGATTTTATGGTTTACTTGTATGGTAATTAAGTGACACGCACACACACACACTATAGGATGGTAAAAGCCCTAGTGAACGCTTTCTTGCTATATGATCTTTTCCCTAAATATGTGCTACTATTTTAAGTGTGGCAGCTTATATCCATTGTAATATAGGATGTTATGTATGTCTTGATTTATTTTAGTTCCACAAGGTCTGGGGACAACTTATGAAGACTGGCTATCAGAATTCCCGCTTTGCACATCAGGTCAGCTTAAACATCTGCTTAGATGATGAATTTAATAGTTTTTTTTTTTGGTTTATTTACATCAGGTAGTGCCTCAATTGTGTTTTGCCTTGTGCAGGTGGAGAGATTTGCCTGCCTCTATACGAGCCAAGTGAGCAACCTGAGCCTATATTCACCGGACAAGTACTATAGACCAAGTGAAGACTTCATGCCCCATGAATTTGAAATCTTTTCCCTGTGAAAAACTTATTTTTTCACTCCAACAATGAGATGTTGCAACTCGAGGTAGTTACCATAAAATAGAAAATGTGGGGAAATTAGGGAAGCATTAATTTCATTGTTAGGCTTAGAAGCATAGAAGCCGAGCTTTTACCAAAGTTATTCTGTTGTTTGTGTGGGTGTAGCGTTCTTGGATATGGTCTGGGGGTGGGGGTGAGACTTTACAGGCAAATTAAAGGTGGATTACTTGTCCATGAAAATTGTCCAAGTGTAAGACAGATGTGTAACATTTTACTTCAAATGACAAGTTTTTTCTTCCTTCATATATTTGTTTATGTTGGTGATTTATAATTCTAAATCTACGACAGATGGGCACTAGAAGTTGTGGCATGGCAATGTTGATAGGTGTAACGGGTGGGCGATTGTCCATTTACCCAAAAGTTCGAACTATTAGGTAGTGCTGCATACCCATCCATTTATACCCAATCACTTTCCCATCCGATTCCGATGTGGGACAAATGACCCTTGTTATATTCTCCCTTACCCAAACTCGCAACGCCCTCGTTGCGATTCGGGCCACCCTACCTACCCGGGATGCTAGCCCGGACTCCTTCCGGGCCGGGTGCTTAGCGTGACACTGGATCAAAGATTGGGTCTGGCTCTGATATCAACTGTAACGGGTGGACGCTTGTCCATTTACCCAAAAGCTCGAACTATTGGGTAGTGCTGCATACCCACCCATTTATACACACTTTAACCTCCATCCAAATTCGATGTGGGACAAGTTTCACTTGTAACATTTTCCCTCACCCGAACTCACGCAACGCCCTCGTTGCGGTCAGACCACCTTACTTACCCGGAGGCAGATCCGGACGCCTTCCAGGCCGAGCGCTTGGCGTGACACCTGATTAAGAACTGGGTCTGGTTCTGATACCAACTGTAACGGGTGGGCGTTTGCTCATTTACCCAAAAGCTCGAACTATTGGGTAGTGTTGCATACCCACCCATTTATACCCAATCACTTTCCTATCCGATTCCGATGTGGGACATATGACCCTTGTTACAGTAGGGGTGTACGAATGTAGTGAATAATTTTCTGCCAAATCTTTTCCAGTTTTTGACCTTCCAAATATATATATATATACTTAGGACTCATTTGGCATAGTTTTTGCTTCTGCTTTTACTTTTACGAAGAAAAAGAGAAGCAAAAACTATTACTTTTATTTCAAGTGTAGGATAGCTTTTAATACCACAAAAGACTTTTCAATCTGTTTGGCAAAACATTTGCTGAAAATCTTTTACTACTAAAATAATTATTTTGTACTCTTAGAGTATTTTTTGAGACTCTCTCGTAATATAAGATAGTTCAACTCTTTTTTTTTTTTTTTTTTTTTCCCCCTCTCTCTCTCTCTCTCTCTCTCTTAAAATCTCGTTGCCTATTCATTCTAAATCAGACGCTCATGTTGTTGTGTTAGCGTCAATTAGGTATCAATGGTTCTTCTGGATGGTGTCGGCCTATATTTTCGTACGCTTTGTGATTAGTGCCAAAAATTACTTATTTTTATTTGTTTATCAGATGCTCATGTTGTTGTGTTAGCGTCAATTAGGTATCAATGGTTCTTCTGGATGGTGTCAGGCTTATATTTCGTACGCTTTGTGATTAGTGCCAAAAATTACTTATTTTTATTTGTTTTACAGTATCGAAACATTTTGTGAATAGTGTCAAAAAACAAAAAATCAATTTAACGTTTTTACATATTTTTAGTATTGTAACAATGGATACTGTAGTGATAAATGGTGAAAAAAAATATAAAAAATTTTTGAATGACAATTTTAAATAACTATTATATTTTTCAAACTTGCAACACTTTACTATCAAATATGTTTTTATGTTTTTGCTTTCAAATATTATAAGTTACCAGGCACGGACCCAGCAGGTGACCAGAGGGGGCAGATGCCCCCCCTGGATTTTTAATATTTTCATTTTGTACCCTAATTTTATATAATTTTATGAAAATGGCCCTCTAAAATTACAATTCGCCCCCACTGGATTCTTTTTTTTTTTTAGCATTTTATACATCAAATTTTGATAATTTATGAAGATGCCCCTACTAAAATTATAATTTCCCTCCCCCCAAAATTTTCTGGTCTGTCAGTGTACGTTACCAAAACTTTTGTTTTATTTTGAATTAAAATAAAAAAGCAAAAAATAAAATGCATTCCAAACAAGCCTGAAGGGTCCAGCACATGTGATTTAGAATGGTTCATATTCGGGTCAATTTTCATTGGATTATTTCGGGTGCAGAATGACCCGTTGACAATCCTACATGATGGTTTGAAGCTCACTAAATTGTCACATGGATATCAGAGAGAGATGGATGCATATATCATGCCATCGATATCTATATTTTGGACCTGTCGAGAGGCAAAGTGTTGACCATACTAAGGAGCCGGTTCTTGTCCTGTGCACACTATGGTGCTAATGGTGCTATATATATATATATATGTGCTGGTGCTAGGTGTATATATATATATATATGATTGGCAAAGTAAGGGGAATGCCCCAGTGTTAAGTATAGAAAGGGTGAACATCACTCTATATGACGTGGAATTCACGCTATTTGTGTGCGCATTTTATGTAAGGTGATCTCTATCATTCACTTGTGCATAGTAGTACTATGCTTTGCACCAGACTAAATCCAGATGCTCCCTCCAATTTAACAGTGTGAAGGTTTGATTGGTCTAGAGAGTATAGAGCACACTAAACAAACGGACTGTAATACCTGCAATTCTCTCTCTCTCTCTCTATATATATATGTTCAATTTAGTATTTTAAGGAAGTATATTTCGTAAATAAAATTAAAAAAAAAAAAAGAAAAAGAAAGAGAGAGAGAAGAGTGAACCGCAATACACAGAGAATAATATTTTAACGTGACGTTCTACAGTTGAATTTCTTAGACAGAAAATCGTGAAACAATATTTTAGGTAAGTTAATCTTGCATTGAACTTTTATATATATTTGAAACTTGATTATGATGAATCTTAAAAAATTAATTGGTGTGTTTTAAATAAATGGTAGAATTAAGAGAATTATTAATTATTAAAAATTAGATAAAATTTAGTTGCACAAATTTTGATTATTGATCATGTTAAAGTTGTAAAGATCGACTGTGTTGTTATTGTATGAGTATAAATTAATTTTAAAATTTTTCATCTAAAGTATTATGATGATTATTATTGTTAGCTTACTGTTATGATTTGTTTATCGTAAGTGATTCATGATGTATAGTTGAATGATTAGATTAGAGAATTTTTGTGTAATATATATATATATATATATATATAAGCTTTGATTTATATATTTAAATGCATATGTAAAATCCTTGTACATGGTACCTTGAAAGTATTGTTGATTCGAATCAAAGCCAATGATGTCAGCTTGTGTCAACGTAGATTATATTGAGATGAAACTTTCAGTTAAAATGCAGGACTTGGTGGAGGAAGAGTGTGTTGCCCTGGGACATCGGCTTGACTATCAAAATTTACCATTGTGACCCACTTGTCGAGCCCAATCTATTGGGCCCACACCCGGGTTAAACCGAATTAACATAATATTTTTAATTATTATTTTTAATTAGTTTTAAATTAGAGAAATTAAGAAAAATATTTTTAATGATCCAAAAATTATGATATTTTTCAGAATATTATATTATATCATACCATAATTTTTGGATCATTAAAAATATTTTTCTTAGCTTGAAAAATTATGACCTGTTTGTATTGGAATATTTAGCTTGAAATTATTTTCATGTAGTTTTACTAAATTAAAATCCGAAAAAGTATTATTTTTTAGCACTAAAATGGAGAGTATAGAGAAACTATAAAGAGTTAGACTCTGAAATTTTGCAAAAACTTTTATCTAGTGACAGGGAGTGTCCAGAATTTTTGTACTCTCACTGGTTGAGTCTTTAGAGTTTTGTTTTTAAAATTAAAAGTGCATTTTGGTGCATTAACTAATATTTTAAATTATTAAAAACTAATGCCTTCCATAATTCAGCTTAATTGGTATCTATTGGATGTGTTTGGATTAGTCAGAGGGGGGTAGTCTGAGACTAACCCTGTGATGACTTTTGGGTATGATCCGGGACCTGCCTATTTGAAAGTGCACTACCCTTTTATTATGGCCATTAGGCTTTATGTGCCCTTATTGTGTAGACGTGATTTGAGATCATATGGGGAGTAGACGTATAATTTAGCCACACGTGTGTTTTCGGTAATCCGGGATGTATAATTTAGACACACGTGTGTTTTCGGTAGCCCGGGACTATACGATTCACACCATTTTATTTTAGGGGAGCCCGGGGCTCATGTGAGATATATGAGTTTAGTAATGTTTAATGATGATTATTGCCATAAAAATTACTTGAGATATGGATCTTAAATTATTGCTCTTATTTGAGTTGCTTTTATATATGGAAATACAAAGTAAGGTTAGCTTGCTGAACGATGATTGTGTTTATCATTTCTTGTTGAGCTTGTGAGCTCACCTTATTATGACATTTCAGGTACCCGTTGAGTAGGAACGTGATGAGATCACATGACGGCGATGGATTTTAGCTAACTTTTTGTATTCTTTTGTTTAGTTCAATTTTTCCTTGTTAGGATCATTATAATAAGAATGATGATATTTTGTGAGATTTAATTCAGTTTGTCTAGTTATCATGGAATAATTTTGACGATGAATATTATCATAGTTGTACCAATTTAATAAATTAGAGGGAGATTCACATCTACTTATTTATTTATTTATTTTTCAAATCTGTGGTTATTCAAAGAAAGTTATGCCAAATTTTAATACGAGATAAGGGTTCTTGTATTTAAAATTTTGGGGTGTGACAGTTTGATATCAGAGCCTATGTTAAGAATTACTTGGCAGAAAGAAGTGATAGTAAAAATATAAGTAATACCATATCTATTGTGACTCCACTCGGAAGTGCGACGACGCTTGATAGAATATATTGTGCTTGTCTTGTTAGGATTGGGAGTTGGAGTTTCTTGTTGATTGGATAGGACTACGGATTAAGAAGTTGACGATGTTTGGTTATGTTAGTGAGATATCATGCTCAGACTGCCATGGGAAGATTATTGTCTTCTCAATTCTTGGACAATTACCTTCTTAGTAAGGCACCATGACTAAGGGATTTCATACCCATGTTGAGGTGGTTGAGCAGCATATGACTATAGAGCAGTTTCCTTTCGTGTGACGACCCTGGATTTTTCAACCCAGTGTGTCATGTGATGACCCAAACCGGATCCGAGATGC